CATCTATAAAATGAGCTGGAGAAGTAAATGGCAAACCCCTCCAGTATCTCTGCCAAGAGAACCCCAAATGGGGCCATGAAGAGTTGGACGCAACTGAAATGACTCAACGAAAACAGCAGATAGTTTTGAGAGAGAGAGAGAGAGAGAGAGAGAGAGAGAGAGAGAGAGAGAGAGAGAGCCCTAAAAACTGGGACTATTCAGAACAGCTCTCTGTCACTGGCGGTGTATGAGCAAAGCCTTAATTGAAAGTAAGGAATCTAAGAAGTGGACTTGAGGAGGGTGTGTACTCCGGGCACAAGAGGCAGCATATGAGCAGGAAATGGAATGTCCATGTTTGGGAACATCCACTAGACCAGTACGGCTGGAGTCCAAAGTGCATGAAGGACAGTCAGGTGGATTAAGTCAATAAAGGCAGACTAGAGCCAGGCTGAGAGGGGCTTCTGATGTCAAGCTGAACAGTATATAGTTTATAGGTAGGAGGGAGCTAGTGATGATTTTTTAAGTGGGGATTGGCACCATCAGACCTTGATGGAAATGGGGAGCCATAGGCTAAATTCTCCCAGGATTGCCAGAAAGGCTGATGCCTTTATCAGCTTCACATCTCAGAGTGCTGGGTTTGTTGACCTCTAGACAGAACCTAATCCTTTCTCATAGATTGGTACATTCAGATTTGGAGATGCTCCCACAACCCAAAGTCACTGCTTGCCCTCCCTGCATTTATGACCAAGTGAGGATTTGTGGTTGGGGATCATCAGTGAAATCTGTGTAGAGTATATTAATTTGTTATTTGGATACAAAGAATTTCTGGTCACCCAATGAGTGGGAGGAGAGGGTGTCCTCCTGCCAGAAGCTTTCAAATGTTCCCTCTGCCTGTCATGTTCTCCGTGTTATTTGACTGAAGAAAGATGGAGAAGTTTAGAACTTTGTAAACCCACAAGGAGCTGTCTTCATTATTGCTTATTAAGTAGGCTGGGTAATTGATTTCCCTGGCATTTTAGCAGGGAGAAAAACAAAGGCAAATGAAAAGAAAGAAGAAATGAGAAGGAGGGTGTTAGACAGTGGCAATCTGGTGTGGGCGTAGCAGACTCCCTGTGTGATTCATGGAACAGTCAGGGCGCACAGACCAACTGCATCTAGTCTCCAGAGGCTCTGCTCAGCCTCTCTGAAGACCGGCTCCCTAAGCTAACTTCAGCTCAGTGGCAACAGGGAAGGCCTGGCCGCCCCTCTGGCTGGCTTGCTAGGTCTCACATGGGCTCCCATCTGGGGGCCTGACAGCCCCCACGTGGAGTGCTCCGGCTGGCATATCCCTAACAGACACCGATACTAACAGCCAGCCTATAAAGCGAGGCACATTTGATGCGGGCTACAGCTGAAAGAATATGTTTCCATTCCTTGTCCATCTGTTCTTGGCAGAATAAATTTAAATGAGAGACACAGAACAAGTTTCATGAGAAATAAGCTTAAATCAGTTCTAGGAGAGCTGGGTGGAATCTCCAAACATTCACGATGGGGAGGGGGACTTAAGATCTGGAGGGTGACTCTTAGACAGAAGCATGTGACAGGGGTCAGGGAGGAGGGAAGAGGTCATTCCTTTTTCATAATGCTCTTTCATGTCCTGTTCATATTTGAAAGGTGAGGGATGGGGGTGGAATCTCACTTTATTTGGGGACAGGCTTACTTCAGAAGGATGGACTTTGGGCACATGGCTGTTTTGAAGGCATTTCACAAATCAGCCAATGATAACTGCTGCCTACTGGAGCTAAGGACCAAATCCTCAAATATTCCATGGTCTGCACAACTGAGTCATTTGCAGGGTCAAGCACCATGGTGCAATATCCCTGAGGCTTCTATTTGGGGAGTACAGATGTGGGGGTGTCCTCGCATTGGAAAGGGGAGGGACTCGAAGTCTAGAATGTCCCCTAGTCACTTTCATACACAATCACTCTGTTAGTGCTTTTGATTGATTATTTTGTTCTGTGCAGAACGTGGATGGAAATGACTAGGATTCTAAACACACACACACACAGTCATACATGCATACATGCACACACAAATGCAAAAGGAAGTAATGTGGCATAAGTTAGAAAATGGAGGCTGCAGTGAAGGTGACAAAGGACTTTAAAAGCTAAACTTAGAGGCACTAGGGAGCCATTTGAAGTTGTTGAGGACACAGTCAGACTGTGCTTTAGGAAGATGATGTTGGCAACCATCTGAGGATTGATTGGAGAGAAAAGAATCTGGATGGGGACTGTGGAATGTGGAAACTATTGCTATAGTCTAGACAAGAGGTAATGAGGCCCTAAACTTGCTGTTAGTGAAGAGAAGTGGACAAATTGGAGATGTCGGTGAACCAATAAGCTTAAGCACCTGTTATTTGCCAGGCACTATGCTAAGTGCCAGGGATACAAAAAGAGACAAAAGACAGTCCCTGCCCTCAAGGAGCTCTCAATCTAATGGGGGAGACAACAAGCAAATATGTACAATGAGCTGCACACAGGAGAAATAGGAATTAAAGGGGGAAAACTCTAGAATGAAGAGGGACTGGGGAAGACCTCCTGTAGGGAGCTGGGATTTTCGTTATGACTTAAAGGAAGCCAGGGACGTCAGAGTGGAGGAGGGAGAGAGCTCCGAGCATGGGAGACAGCCTGAAAAACAATGCCTGCAGGGGAGATACTGATGCAGCTAGGAGCCCAGGGGCATTGGATGGACAACATGTTGATGAGTACTGGGTGGAGAGTTAATTCTCAGGAAGATCAGAAAGGTAGATGTTTGGGGAGGTAGAATTCACAGTGGCAAAATTTGGGAAGGTTACAATCTTTAAAAGAGATTTAGACTAGATACAAAGCTATTTCCAGCTCTAAAATATAATAATAGCTATTTGTACTGTTGTATCATTGAAAGGCAAATAATAGAATCTTAGATTTTGAAGGGCAGCTAGGTGGTGCCATAGTGGACAGAGCTCTAGGCCTGGAGTTAGGAAGACTCATCTGCCTGAATTCAAATCTGGCCTCAGACACTTCTAGCTGTGTGACCCTGGGCAAGTCATTTCACCCTGTTTGCCTCAGTTTCCTTATCTGTTAAATGACTGGAGAAGGAAATGGCAAACCACTCCAGTGTCTTTGCCAAGAAAAACCCAGATGAGGTCACTAAGTGTCAGAAACGAGTGAAAAAATGACTGAACAAAGACTGAGAAGGGATCTTAGAGTTTATCTTAACCTAACCCTCCTCATAATGTAGGAATTCAAATTAATTTTATAACATTTCATTTTTTTCATTCATTCAACAATATTCCACTTAGATTTTATCGGAAATACCATTCGTGCCATTTCCGGCTAAAGAAATGATGATGGCTACCTGTACTAATATCAAACATACAATCCTCTGCTTGCCCTTCAAAGCCTTTCACAATCTGACTCTGGCTCCCCTTTTAAGGGTGGTTGCATGGTACTTCCGGAGTCTATATTTCATCCAAGCCTGTCTGTTTTCTCTCCTTATGTGGTACCCCATTTCCCACCTCCATGACTTTGCACTGCTCTGCCCTATCCCTGGCATGCATTTTTTCTGCTTGCCACCTTCTAGGATCCCTAGAGTTCTTAAAGGTTCAACTCTTCCATGAGAGTTATCATTTTTCTCCCTGTTACTAGTAACCTCCCTACTGGATATCAGGTTATATTTACCATGGATAGATTTGCATTTACCTCTCTGTCCATATTCACCCCTAAACAGAATGTAAGCTCCTCCAGACTAGAGAATGATTATATGTACTTTTTGGCATCCTCACCTCTTCTCACAGTACTTGGTACATAGAAGGAGGTTAATAAATGCTTATTGAATAAATGAATGAGTCATCTATAAATGTCCTGCTGGTACTAATTGTACTTTCCAGACGTGAAACATTTATTTTGGAAAAAAATAGAATGTTAAAAGAGTTCTGGTAATGAGTGTAAAGCACTTTGTGAACCTTAAAATGCCAAGAAAAGGCCAACTGTCATTTATCCTCATCATCCTCATCATTATTATTGATTGTCTGAATCCAGACCTTCCAGGCAACACTTCCTAATGATTGGGTGCCCATAAGGGATCTCTAAGTTGTTCCTTCTAACAAAGCTTTTGGTTGGGCTCCCTGGGGAAGAAATCAGGACCCTGCCAATAGCCTGTGAGTGTCCGAACCCACCTGCTGTTCTGAGTGTGGTAGTGCCAACAGAGCAGGAAGCCGTGAACCATGTGGGGAGTGAGGAGCGTGTGATTCCAGCCCCGGTTTCTGCACTATGTGACCTCGGGTGAGTCCCTCATCCTCACTGGGCCTGAGTTTCCATATCTGTAAACATTAGAACAGGTGATCTCTAGGAATTAAGCAATGGAAGTAGACCTCTCTGATGATGATGTATGTTTCACCTTGATTTTTACTGTTGAAACTCATGGCTTTTTGCCAAATTTTCTAATGTTGGAGACATACACATATGTTATACATACATTTACACATATTGAGAGCTCACCTCTTACAAAGTGGGGTTATGTTGCATAGCCCATTTACAGATGAGGAAACTGAGGCACAATGAGGTGAAGTAATCACCCAACTCATGAGTTGAGAAGTTGGTAGAGGAACCAAACCCAAGTCCTCTGCCCCGCAGGTGAGCACAGTGCCCACTAGGTCGTCTTGCTACTCTTTTGTGACCAATGTTGTTTGTCAATATTAAAAACTCCTCCTCATCTATTTTCTTGGCATCATCAGACAACTTATTGTATCATTTGACTCAGGATCAGTGGCGATTGGGGTGAATGGGGTCTCCTCGGCTCACGGTCTCAGGGAAACTAGCAGTCATGGGAAGAAATGAGGATATCTTTCTGCTCCTTATTTTTCCCCTTAGCCAGTGAATACTTTTTTTAGCCTTAGCCCTCTGTGTGGTCTGTGCCTAAATATGGAGGGATGTCGTTGGGCCAACCAGGCCTAACTGGAAACTAATGCTAGATTTTTTTTGTTTGTTTGTTTTCTGTTTCAGATCTGAGTGATCAGCTGTTGGAGGTGGTTGGTCTAGAAGGTGCCATGGAGATGGGACAGATTTACACTGGCCTGAAGAGTGCTGGCCGCCGCCTGGCTCAGTGCTCCTCTGTGGTCATTAGGTAATTTTCATTTCATTTCTAAGACCTCATAGTCCCCATTCTCAATGGCCATCGAGCAGTATCTGCCAGCCTAGCCAGTCCGTCATCCTGAATGACCCGGGAGAAGGGTTGAGGGGAAGGTGGATCCTCTTTAGAGATGGAAATCAGCTGTTGAATCATGGGCAAGAAATAGGGAAGCATCACTCCACTAACGACCTCACCAACCCTTCTTGGTCACAAAGGTACCCATTCAACCCTCACCACTGCCCATCTTCCCTCTACTCCTAAAATACCAATAAAGGAAGCAAACAAACAGCTCTTGCTGATGGTTGGGTTTGGTTTCCTTTTGTATCCCTAGCATGTCTCCCAGTACTTGGTAATGTTTATTGATTGACTGTAATTATTAAAGCAAGATGAAGTATGAGTAAAGGTTGATAAATGTTGTTCTATCACTAACTGTTTGTGTGGCCTTGGATAAGTCACTTGACTTTGCTGGGCCTCAGTTTCCTCCTTGGTAAAATGAAAGAACTGGCCTTGATGATATGTGAGGGCCATTCTAGCTCTAAATCCATGACTTTGACAATGTTAAAGAGTTCAATACTTCTGAAGAACTTTCCAAAGGTCATAAAAGTTTAAAAAAATATTTCTGGAAATAGTGCATTCTCATCCTGGAAGCCCAGCCTTAAAAATTAAAAAAGAGCTATTTAAAGGCTCTTGGAAGCTGATGCCTTCCCTGGCCAGAGCATGACTTCTGACAGAAAACCCAGGCGTGCCCACCTCGGACGAGCGCCTGGCTTTAAATCAGTTCGTTTCCTGCCAGTTTGAGTGTATCATTTCAGCCAACGCTGACAACAAAATTCAAAGCCCAGTGAAACAAGTAGGTAACAGGCAGGAAGTGCCTTTTAGTTACAGATGAGTTGTTTTTCAGGAATTGGTTTCTAAATCAGTTGTTTGGGATGTGGAAAACCTTGTCCCAGAGAAACATTGTTACCCTTGAGACTGAGGAGCCCAGCTTGCCACAGAGCAAGTTTCATCCAAAGGCTGCTAGAAACTCAAATGGGTCAGTTCAAAGAGGAAGGGTCAGCTATGACCTACTGTACTTCAGGGTCGACCTCCTCCTCCACTTCCTCCTCATCCTGTTGCTTTCCCCAGAATGTTGCAGATACACAAATGAGCCTTTTCTGAACTAGAATGGAAAGGCCCTTCCTTTCCCATTGGCACATTGACAACAATGACTATGGATGGAGACCTCCAGAAATTGGACTAAGAAACGTGCCCTGGTCAAGGGAGAGGCATCCTGCAGAAGGTCATGCCTAGAGAGCTGTTATCAACAGACACTAAATCTCCTTACAGACACTCTCTCATTAGAGAGGCATGTGTCTATGTAGGTCAGTAGGGGCCAGGACCAGAAGAGATCACACACATGTATATACGTATGTATATATGTTGATATAGATATATTTCTCTATCGTGGCTGACATCATGTCATTTAACGTAATTTAATTTACCTTAGGATCAGAGCAGGAATTATTGTATTCCCTGGATATTGCCAGTATGTTTTACTCCCTGCCATATGTGGATGTGTGTACACACATGTACACGCACACACACACAAGCAGCCATGCTTTGAGCATTGCCCTGACGTGGCCTGAGACTCCAGTTAATCTCGTGGACTCCTTGCACTTTAGAGGTAGCGTGCATTTGGGGTACGTCAGCTTCACTGGCACCAGTTCCAAGGTCTCAGTTTCTGTCCCCTTCTGTGTAAGATGGATCTGCTCCAGGGTTGTTGGGAGGATTGAGCCCTCCGGTCAAAAATTGCTTTCCATCCCATCAAGAGCTACATCAAAGGCCGCTGGGATTGCTACCTTGGACATAAAAGGAAGTTTAGATTCCATCAAGTCCAAACCCCTCATTTCACAAATGAGGAAACTGAGGCCCAGAGAAAGAAATTAGTTGACCATAGCAAGTGACAACGTCTTGACTTGGAGCCTAGCATCCAGGCTCTCACACAGCCACTCTTCATACCTACCCTGTTGTCATTCTTGCTGACCCTACATGGCACAGAGACTGGACGTGTGATTTCACTGGTATAAAGAATGCCCAAGTGAGGAAACTCCCTGTACCACTGCAGATTGGTATCCTCTCTTCCACTTCCAGTCTTAGAGAACTGCCTAGGGTGCTCAGAAGTGATGCCTTGCAAGTCTCCCGGATTAGATTCCAAATCTCTCATCCCTTACTACATTGCCTCTTGCATCCATAGGAGGTGGGTTAATCTCCCTGGGTGCAGGGTCCCATGTCAGAACTAACTGTCCTCAAGGATCACTGACTACCGTGACAGTCATGGATTGGCAAAAGGCTCCTTTCAGATTGGCCAAGAACCCTTCACCTAATAGCAGGTCCCTTTCCCTGGTGGAGGAAATTCATGACTTTGAGATCATAGACTTCACAGGGATGGTTCCCTCTCTACCCACCTGCCCTGGGCCTGACTTTCTGAGCCCCATCTTGCCTTTGATTTTGGTGGCTCTCCAACACTTGTTTTGCTAATAAATCTCTTCCAGGACAAGCAAATCACTGCCAATGCAGATTGATGGGGAGCCCTGGATGCAGACCCCGTGTACTGTGAGTACTCATTGTTGTCAATAGTTTGGGGACCTTCTGCCTCTCTAGGAATAACAACTTTGTTTATGCTTGTTTGGGAAGGGGGGAAAGGAGGTTATTTTGAAGTGTTTTCAGAATAATTGGTTCCTTCATTTGCTCTATTGCTAAATATGAATTGAGTTATTTTAAAAAGACATTCTAAACTCCACTGTCCACTGAGATTTTCCTTCATTGTCTCCCTGTAAGGGTGGAGGTGACCCTGAGTGGTTCAAAGTGGTGAGCACAAAGTGGTGATAACTAGGATTTTTGGCCCCCAGGACAAGGTCTACTGGGAAATGTGGGTAGGAATGGTCACAAAAGGCAAGTCACTCTAATGAGACATAGTTATGATGGGAGGGGTAGCATCCCATAACTTATTCACCACACGTTAGATGGGAGCTTTCCATTAGACTGGGCAACAGGCAGATAGGTAGAAAATAAGATGACAATGAAAAAAGTTCTTTAGGTGGAGAGATAAAAAGTGGTGCAGTGAAAATGTGACTGTTATTCAATTCAAAAGTTCGGGGTTCAGATCCCTGCTGTCCTACTAATTTTTCACTACGTAGCCTTGAACAAATCATTTAGCTTAGCTGGGCCTCATTGTCAAATGAAGGGCTTTCAGTAGATACTTCTGGGTTCCCTCCTAATCAGGAATTGTGATTCTGCATGCAACCAGAGGCTTTTGTGCACTTGCTTCAGTTTTTTCACACTTACCTCTCCTCACCCTCCCCAGCAAGCCTTGGTCATCTCTTCATGGGAGGTGAGACACAGATCACTTCTGCCGTTACATCAAATGTTACTTATGCTTCTACAATAGCTGGGCAATTAACAGACTCTCTAAATGTAACAGGCGCCACTTGGCCTGTGCTTCTTGATCACTCCTGTACTTTTAGATTCGTCTTCCTATTCTGGAGAGGTATACTGGGGTGCATTTGTCTAAATCCAGAAACACCAAGCTCTGCATCTCTCCAACACAGGATCTTAACTAAAACAGTCTTGTAGCAGCATGATCTCAATGGAACTCTCTGGCGTTCTGATGAGAACATAAGCATTGCCAACATTCCCAGCTCAATTGAGATGGACTTGAGCTGACATCTAATTTCTGAAAGTCCACTTTAGAAACCATTACAGAGCCAGTCCAAAGCTTATTTTTCTTTGCTGGTGGAATACATGTAATGGAAAAGCAAACCAAAGCAGCCTCATTTCTCTTCTGAAACACTAAAACCTAAGTTATGATAATTTAAAAAGAAAACTCCTTTTTTTAAGCCATCCACAAGCTCAAGGCTTAGGGGCAGGAAAAGGCCCAGACTCTGAAAAGGGTCCCATGAGTTTAAGCTTCCACAGTGATTTTTCCTGAAGGGCCCTTGAATTCCACCTCTCCAAGACAGCCTGCCTGATGAGTGTCGCTCGCCTCAACCCCCGTTCATGGTTGTGGAGCGGCTGCTGGGGCCCAGAGGGATCATGGGAGTCCACTTCAAGAATCAGAGGACTAGCATTGAAGGACCCCAGCAACCACCGAGTCCCAGCCTTGCCATTTTACAGCTGAGGAAACCAAGGCCCAGAGGGAGGAAGGGCCTTGCCCAGGGGAACAGAACTAGTCAGTCTCTGAGGAGGGCTTTGAATCCAGGTCTTCCTGACTCTATGTGCAGAAAATATTTCCTCCTTTGTAATTTTATAGCCAGAAAAAGGACATTCAAACAGGAATGCAGAAACTTCTCTTATTGTTGTTTCTCCTCATTCATTGAGTCATTCATTAAATGAGCACTTACTAAGCACCTACTGTGTGCCAGGTGTTGTGCCAGATGCTGGGGATACAATGATAAAAAATCCCTGCCCTCAATGGGCTTACGTTCTACTGGGGTAAACCACATGGACATAGGTGAGTAAACAACAATATATAGACCAAGCAAACACAGATTCCTTTTGAAGGGCAATAATAGCTGACAGTGGGGAGGGAAGCTCAACAGTTTGTCAACAGTTTGGGGACCTTCTGCCTCTCTAGGAATAACAACTTTGTTTATGCTTGTTTGGGGAGGGGGGAAAGGAGGTTATTTTGAAGTGTTTTCAGAATAATTGGTTCCTTCATTTGCTCTATTGCTAAATATGAATTGAGTTATTTTAAAAAGACATTCTAAACTCCAGTATCCACTGTAAAATGAAGAACTTGGACTGGATGGTCTTTAGCTCAATGACTTCTGTCTTTTCTTTGGAGATGCAAAGGGTAAAAAGAAGGAGAAGGAATCCTAGACTATTTAAGCTGGAAAGAACCCAAGAGAGGCGGAAGGCACATAAATGAAAGAATCCTGATCTCAGAAAAGTGAGCTTGTGTTTAATGTCTCGTCTGGGCAGGTCCTTTCACCTTCCTAAGGTGTCAGTTTGCTGGGGAAACTGAAGTTGGCAGAGGCGCTCTCCAAGGTGCTTCCATCACTGATCTCCTAGGAGTCCAACACCTTCACTGTGTTCAGGAAGAGCCCGAGGGCCCTGGAGAAGGCTTGCCTCGGGTCACAGAGGAGGCTTTGGGAAGGAGCGATAGGGATGCTTGTCACTCCCCAGCTTCCCCACATCAGAGAAGCAGGCGTTCCTGGTTGACTACACATTGGGATCAGCGGAATCTCCTCTAGGCCATTTAAAAACTCTGGCACTTCCTCTTCACCTTTCAAAATTGTATTCCTTTTAAAGAGTAGCCATTGCGGGTATTCTCCTTTTAATAGGCTACGCTGTCACAAACCCATTTTTCTGTGGTGCCTCTCACCTCTGAAACAAACCATAGCTTAGCCATCAGTTCACCCACATTTTCTCTCTCTCTAAAGGTATGTAAAAGTGCTTCTGTGTGCACTTTAGCTGGTGACTCCTAAGCATAGACCCTGAATGATTGAGGAGAAAAAAAAATCTATTCTCACTATTAACAAATTCATTCTTTTTTATCCAGGTGAGTCTTCACCACTGGGAGATTCCTCTTCCTTCCTTTTTTCCTTTCTTCCATCTTTCCTTTCTTCCTCCTTCCTTCCTTCCTTTCCTTTTTTTCTTCTTACCAATATACCCATTATTTTCACACTTAATGACTTGAAGACAGCTCTCATGCCCCACCCTCAAATCTTCTCCTGTCAGACGAAACATTCAGAGCTCTTTTCAAGCCATCTTCATGAAGTAGGATTTGAAGGCACTCCCTCATTCTTCTTGTCTTCCACTGGACACCCCCTACCTTATTTATTTCCTAAAATACAGCCTGCAGACCTGAGCACTATACTCTAGAGAAGAAGATAAAATGGTACCATCATCTCTTTACTCCTAGATATTACACCTCTCATACTGCAGCCTAAAATTTCTTTGACTTTCTTTACTGTCATATAATAATAGCTGATAAATAAGAGATATCATGTGCATACTGCATGCTATGTGTCAGGAACTGTGCTGAGTGCTTTACAATTATTATCTCATTTGGTCCTCACAACCACCCTGGGAGGTAGGTAGTCATCCCCAGTTTAGAAATGGGAAAACTGAGGCAGACAGCATTAGGGTTAGTTGACTCACATTGAGCTATCAGTCCATAAGGACTCCTATAAGTGTCCAGATAAAAGACTATTGCCCTTCCCCCCTCCAGCTTTTACTTTTGAAGTTAATTTTCAGAGCCCCCTTTATGCTTATTACAGTTAGATTTCACTGGACAAAATAAGGCTCAATCTTCCAACTAATTGAAGGGTTTTTTTTATCCTTACTCTGTCATCTAGTTGTAGTAAGCTATTGCTCCCAGCTCTCCAAGTTAAGTACAGTCAACAAGCATTTATTAAGTGCCTATGGTTTGCCAATCACTGTGCTCAGTGCTGAGGATACAAAGAAAAGGAAAAACTGACCCTGCCCTCAAGGACCTCACAGTCCAGTGGAGGAATCTACATCTATAATCTGTGTAATCTGTGTAATCTGTGTACTTGCTTCATGTACCATCCATGTTTTCACAATGATGATAATGATGATGATGATGATATAGCTAGCATTTATATAGCACTTTAAGTTTTACAAAGTGCTTTACAAATATCTTGTTTGAACCTTACACCAACCCTGGGAGGGAGGTGCTATTATTATCCCCACTTTCCAGATGAGGAAACTGAGGCAGACAGACGTGAAGTGATTTTCCTGGATTCATATAGCTAGTACGTCTGAGACAGGATTTGAATTCAGGTCTTCTTGGCTCCACCTTGCCATCTAGTTGCCTTACAGACTTCATCTAAATAGGGTTTTCATAGGGGCATGTTGAATTGAATGTTCTTTGGTCATCACAGATATCCATGGTACAAGGGAACCATGAGGAAGGTAATGACCTTCAAGGATTACACAACCCCCTGCTTGACTTGCCTGTGTCAGAATCTGTGAGAACTTTGTATAGGTTGCTAGCTTCAGAGATGAAAAGGGCCTTCACTTTCCGTATGGGGTTTGGTGCCCTGGCCAAGGTCACACACAGATTGTCCCAGCAGAGCCCTGCATAGCCGAGCACACTTTCTGCTTGATTGTGGAATGAAAGACCTGGACAAAAATCCCAGCCAACAGATCACATTACCGGATGGGGACACAGCAAGGCTTCCAGGTTGTCATTTCTCTCAGCCAGAGAGCTATAGACAAACTAACTTGGGACTTCCTGGTGTCCTCACAAAGTGCCCTTTATGAGCAGGATCTCTGAAAAGATGCGCCTGCCAGGGACTCCTGCAACTGACAGGGATCTGCTAGGAACAGAGAATTTACTAGTAAGGCATATGATAAACAGAGATGTTTAAGTGAGTTGGCCTAAGTCCCATGGAAAGTTGATGGTGGAATTGGGACTATTTCTAACATATTTTTCCAATTCTGGACCTGCCATCATTCCATTCCAGTTGGGGGTTTGAAGGGAAGAGTTCAGCAGAGGCTGAAATACACTCTTACAGGTAGCTTCTGACATGCATGGTGGTGAGTTAAGGAGCACAGGTGTAATGTTGGCAGCCAGGATTGTATGA